TTATTTTGTTTGTTGAGAAGACCAAATAGTTTATTGTAAGTAGTTTGCTCCAAGGATCTGTGTGTATACTAGTTTCCAAAAATAAACTGTATTTTTTTCTCTCTCTCTGTGTAAAATGTCTGAAAAACATGCAGTGCCTCCAGTGTCCTGCACTAATCTTGACCTGACAATTTGACCAGTTGCTGAATCTTTACCGCTGAAGACTCTGCAGCTTGGCATATATTGTCATGATGCAGAATTAAGTGACTAAAAGTGTGAGTGCCTGAGTGTGTGAGTATGTGTTTATGTATGTACGTGTTGTAGGTGTATTTCAGGGAATGCAAAACAGAAATGTAACTTATCTCTTCTAAGAGACTTCCTGTATTCATGATGTGCTTTGCTTTGTTCTGTAAATAGTTGACAGATTTTTAAATCTTAATTGTAACCTTTTCAGGTATTTTTGTACAAATAAGGGACTGAAATATTCTGTTTATTGTAATTAGAATAAAGCATTAATACATTACCATTCAACTAATGCTGTACTGGTGTTGCCTGGTCTGCAGTTGGTCAGATATTAGACTGATATTTGGGTCTGTAACACACAGAAGAAAGAAAAAAAACACTTACACCTTATCTCCTCGCTGTCTGTTTTTTGAATACAGTTCTTGCCACCTTATTCCCTTACTGCTTATTTGAACACCACTCTTACACCTTACCCTCCCACTGTCTGTTTTTTGAACACCGCTCTTACACCCTATCCTCCCACTGTCTGTTTTTTGAACACCGCTCTTACACCTTACCCTCCCACTGTCTGTTTTTTTGAACACCATTTCACTACTACACAGACGTTTACTTACATCCACAATTTAGTAAGCAGATTAGTAGTACAATTAAAATATGTGTATGGTGATGCCCAAAAGTTAGTAATCTGCATATATTTAGTGCATCCTTACGCTTATTAAATTTGGTTAGTGAAACACGCCACATACTACTGTTTTGGTAAATCATGGAAGCGATTTATAGGCACTGAAGTGACAGTGAAGAAAGGAACAGCTCAGCAACCACAACATCTTTTGAAAGACTAGATATTGTGAATAAAGGTAAATAAGAAGTTGGTGGTGTGGCAGTACTTTTTGCAATTTAAAGTCCAAGCTTATTAAACAAGGATTCTAATCATACTTTAATTATGAACGGTTACAATTTTAATTTGTTATGAGCACATTCTGGAAGTTCCAAACCCCAATATTAAGGGATCAGATTGTAAATATGTTATCATTGGGAACCACCACCCCCACAGCCCGTGAATTTTTTATATGACATAGAATGGTCCATGGACTTCGACTCTACTCTAATGGCTTTATTCAATATTCATTTGAGAAATTACATTCAAATGGCAGTTTTGCCCTTATATATTATATTATATATATTATATATTGTGTATATATATTTCACTGTATTTTGTGGTTTTTTTTCTTTTTAAATACACCATAAGTAACCCAAGTATAATGTGTTTAAGTGCTGTTGCTGTTAAGTAGAGCAAAAGGGCCCGTCAGATAACACCCTGACATCAGGGTCAATTCTTATAACTGCAAAATGCCAGAACTTATTAACTCATATTGGGGAGCCAATTGTTCCACGATTTCCATCAGACATTTGTTTCTTGAGTAAATAATCATAAAAGATAGTGGCAGTAAGTTGGGTTTCAAATGATTGGGGGCAAGGTCAAGAAAAAGGTTTATAACACAACCACGCTTACACAAGCCCCACAGCAGCAATCAGGGTGGTAAATAACAGCATAGGATTATGTATGAACAAGCTTGGCTGGACTGGACAGCTAAACGGATAAACCACCTAAAAGTTAGCAGAACTTTTATTATATAAATTTAGCTTTGGTTTGGTTTTTGGTTCTGACACCTTTAAAAACATATTTAGAGACTTTAGTTTAACCCATTTAACACTGAGGTCCCAACTGTTGGACTATAGTGATTACCAGGGGATATTTGGATTTTGTAGAGTCTCCGTAATAAATCTGCCTTGAAATGTTCTTTCTATGATATTCCATTTGCGAGGTGCAAACGTTTTTGAAGAAGGACTTCTTGCTTAGCCAGATAACTTGTTGAATTAAAAGTGGTCCGTGCTAAATATAAATGAACGAAGATAAAGTCCATTTAAACTAGGATACCTTAAATCCGGCAAATCCAGCTTAAGCAAGAAATTCAGCTTTGAGATACCGGCCCCTATTCTCCGCCTAGTTCTGGGTGCCCTAATTTAAATTGACTTCATCTTCATTCACCTACATTTAGCACGGATTACCTTAAATCTGAGAAGCTATCGACCAATCATGTCTTGTGTTTACAGTCTGTCGGAAAAGGGGGGCAACAATCTACTGGCGATTCCAAGACAACAAAAGGGGTTTATTGACAAACCACATAGGCTGACTCAAGACACAGAAACTTCACCTATACGACCATATACAATGACCAACTGGGAAAATGAACTAAAGCAGGAACTTAAATACACAAACCAAACTGAGCTAATGAGGATGCAGGAAAGAAGCATTACCCAGAAAACAAAATCACAGAGAAAACTAGGTAACAGGTAACAGGTGGAACTAATGACCAGAGGTAATCACAGAACTAGAAAACATTAATCTAACACTAGAAAAATAAGGCTATTACAGAATAGAAGTGCAACTATAACAGAAAATAAACACTAGGAAAACCAAAACCATAAACACTGAGGACAACAAAAGTCAAACAAAAATCCCAGAACAGGGGAGGCTAGGATTTGCCAGCCTCAAACCCACAACATGCAGGTTTACAGACTGAGCCACACACTCAGCCAGCGGAGCTATGGGGCTGCCTGGGAGCAGAAACACATGAGGATAAAAAATATGACTACAGAGGAAAAACGGCAGAATGGTCAGCAATACCTGCTGGCCAGACGGGGAAGACGAGCAGGGCGGGGTCAAAGGGAACTGTCCATGACAGCAGTCAGCCAACAACGTGCCAGATAGACTGTCGCAGACACACTTGCAACAGAAACCAGCAAATGTGTATGGTTTTGGAGTTAAACTTTATACACTTTACCTGTGGAAAAATGATAGTTGATTTACAGTTAGTGGAAATAAATTATGTGGAAGCTGGTGGTTTTCGAAGTTAGCATAAAAATTTATCCATTATGAAACAGTTAATTATCTTGCCTAATTAGCGAACTAGCCGAACCCTGCCTATCACTGATCATTTTCCTCAGAACTACGCTCCCAAAAAAAGGAATTCCACAGATGATCTGAGAGGATGACATGGCTTTTCTTAACCCCCTATGCTCCCGGTCTTGCCGATGTGTTTGCTGTGGACCGGTGCCCAGGCCTTGCTTTCACACAACACTTCTCAAATTCCTATAGCAAGGTATGTTTGAAGAAACATTTTTGCATTTGCCAGCTGTTGACTTGAAATTCTTTTTTGAAGGAAGACTGGCATTGGGGCTAAAATACTCGGGGCTATAGCCCCGAGTGATCGGACCTAACAGCGCCCATGGATCATTCCAAAACATTGCTAAAAAGAGCCACAAGTGATTCAGCATGTGATTGAAGGCCCTTCTCAGGTCAGAGTGAGAAAGATTAGTTGTTCCATGGATTCGCAGAGTCTGGGGAAGGCTGCGGGACAAGCACCCACATTCTGGACAGTCTGGGATTCATCATCACCATCTTCATCACCATCATTGGTACTTAGCATTCATTAATTGACTTAATACAGTGGGAGGATGCATTTTCATTTTTTGAAGGAGAGCCATTTTTTTCATGTAACAAATTTTTTAAATCCTTTTTTTATGTAGCTTTTTATTCATTTTCTGTTTCTTTTGCAAAGATTCATTTTACTTTTCAGCTCTACCCTCCACAAATCGAGCATCCTTGTACAACAGCAGACAAGTGACCTATAACCTGGTACTTAAAGTGAGCAGATGATGGCCTTTATAATTAAAGCTAAGGTATGTTAGGATGTTAAGGTATACTTACACACTGCTTATGAATGTTCCATGAATGCATTACATATGCATTATGAAGGTGCCATTAATGTAAAGTCTTACCGATTGTTTTCAATGTACTCAGCTGCCCTGGAGTTGGGGAGGGCTCCAGGATTAGCGCTGTTACCTCACAGTTGGGGGTTTGAATCTCACCTGCACCCGCTGTGTGTGGAGTTTGTGTGTTTTCCCAATATTAGCTGCCCCCTAACCTTGCCTCATGCCTTATACTGCCTGAGATAGGATGTAACCCACATCCAGTGTAAATAGTAGTAAGGCAGAGGAATAGAAGTCAGAAATAATAGAATAATAGACAAAAGACCCTTACAGTTTTCCACCTGATGCTTCCATGTGGAAAGCCCTTGTTTTCATGTCGACTGTGATAAACTGTGACCGCAGAAATGGATAAAAATGTCTGTAAAGTACTGAGCAAGACACCTTTGGCCACTGTGACCTCAAGGGAACCTGGGATGCTCCAAGATAATTCAGATCATTGCGCTGGATGGCACACAGTATCCACCAGGGGGCTCCATTCAACGTTACATGAGGATCCTTTTGCTCAAAGCATTTTTAATTAGCATTTTAATCTTCAAAGAAATGTGATGTATTCGTATGGACTATCTCTCAACATATCATTACATAGCAGATAAGAAGTGACATTAACAGTGGAAAACCTGTTTTATGTATGTAATTATTAAAGTTTTTATCAAAGGTTTTAGGAGGGTGTGTGTGTGTGCGTGTGTGTGTGTATGAAGGCCACCCCTTTCGCCACACCACATCAAAACAATAAAAACAAAACATGGATTACTTTATTTTCGAAGTGGAACCATAGAATAGGTACAGTGCAGTCTACGGAAATGTTTAAATATTCACCTGTGCCTGAAACAGAGAGTAACACAGGCAGCACTGCATTGCATGGCTCTCATTAAGTTTCCATGAGTCAGTCTGGGTGGTGTGTGGCCCCCGCCTGCCTGGCCACGCTCTAGGGCCCTTCCCATTGGCTGACTGAAGAGGGCACTAGACAGATATAAGCATCCGCGTGCTTCGCTTTGATCACCACAGCTGAGGCTGAGTGCTGAAGGAGCGTGCTTGTGACAGAGATGTGAGTATCCCCTCCTGGCTTGTAGTGTGTGCTGGGTGCGGCCCGCTGGACGTTGAGCTGCTTGGGTTACTGAGACCGGGCTTTGAACTCATTTATCACTTGTTGCATTATAAGAATTATAGTGTGTAGTTTGCAGATAGTAACTGGCACAGATAATAGCCAGGAAGTCAGAGTTTCCTAGAAGAGTAACAGGTAGGGAAGTTTATATCTTGTTAAAACATTGTGCAATAATTGTATTACTAACTTGCAAATTACTTGTGATATTGTAGGTTGTGACACATGTAATTAAATGTACATTGTGTCTGAATGGTGACACTTTTCCAATGATAGTTTACTTTTATTGCTGTTAATATGCGGCCCTGTACCTTAGTCTGAGATTCATGCACTAAAACGGATTAAACGGGTGAGTGCAGCCTGCGGGGTTGGGGATGACGCCTGTGGCCTGACCGGGGAGATACACTGGCACCTCTACACGCCCCGCTGTTTGACCGCGTGCGCCCGCGTGCGCCATGCACCAGAGAAGCGGTTTGTCGGCTGCTTACGTTAGCGGGCGCTAAATAGGGATTGGGGATTACAACTTGCAGCGATTTCGAGAGACATGTCGCACAGTAAAACAGAAGGTACTGTCCAGCCCATAGAAATGGAACTTGTGGGGTACATTGCTTTTAAACATTTTTCGCTGTTTCCTTTAGTTATTTATCTGTTGTATAAAGTTGATACTTTTCGTATATCTTTTTTTAATTGATAAAAACTAAGAAGTACAAACCCGTGCACATCTTTTGTCGGTGGTGCTACGCCGAGGACCTTCCAGGAGACGATTCGGAGGACATCGCTGCAGCATCGTAATTATACGCACGGCGACCATCTCCGTCGCCACAGAAGGGCAATGCGCGCGCAGGATTAAGCGGGACGTGAGGTAGCGGCTCGCGCTGCGAAGACCTCGACCGTGCGAGCGGCAGTAAGCGGCTCAGGCGGCTTTGCTTAAACCTGAACATCTCAGCTGGTGACGGGGCTCACCTCAGCCGCGCTGTTTTTACTGAGTAATTTCTCATTGCTTACGGCTCATGCTAACTGTTGAATTGCTGCCGTATTTTTGTTACGGTACCTGAAATGAAGTAGTGGTATTGATATTTATTTACATTTAGGGTGACCAGATAATCCATGTCAGGGAGGACACAGTGAGCTAGGACAGGAATTGTAAATTACCACTTCAATTAAAAGGACCTGGATTTCACTTGAGCACTGAGTTCTTGCTATGTGCTGATTGGTCAGTCTCCTATAATCATGCATGTGTCACTAATGCTAATATGAAACAGCTGGATGAGTCTTTCAGTCAAGGAAACAAACCAATCAAAGCACAAGAACAGGTGAACTATTTAGCCAAGCACAGGAGCCTTTCAGTTTGAAAGTAGTTTGTAAAACCCGAAGTAGCTCCAAGTGTTCTCCCTGACATGAATTATCTGGTCACCCTAATTTATATTAAAAATTTAATAACCCGTTCAAATAATAACAATCATAATAAAAAAACGTTTTAGGATATTGCCGTTATTACTTAAATTAAAGTGAACGACGTCCTGTTTGACAGTGAGGGAGGCACCAGTGCATCAGGAGGTGACCACTTCATTAAGAGGTGTCAAAAAAAATGTGCGGCAACGCACAGATTGTGACGCATATAATAGTTTTAGTGGAGTATAGTTCTGTGGCTCTACATGAAAGAAAAGCAAGATATGGGCTTATATTTGTGCCTCATCGGCGAGATGAATATTTTAAAAGATATTTAGCATAAACACTGCTAGAAAGCCACATGAGATGAACAGGCGAGCCATAACTTAAACGAAACCATTCTCGCGTGACGCTTGTCTCTGAGTAGCAGAGTACTGGCAACTTGTGAGAAGTGGTGGTACGATAAAGATTAAAATACAGCAGTGCAAGTGTTATGCCGAAAAAGGCATCCCTGCCGTAGAATACATGCCTGTCTCTAAATGACCGATTGGTCGCTGATCTGAAACGAGTTGAGCTACTTTGTCGAGTAAGGTTAGCGTAGTGGTAATCAATAGCCCCAAAAAACCCGTAAAACTCTAACCCTAACCCCCAAAACACCCCTAAAACCCTAACCCTAAACCCTAAAAAAACACTGACCCCCCAACTCGTCGGAACACCGGCATGCATTCTAAGGCAGGGATGCCTTTTTCGGCATAACACCGGTACTGCTTAATTTTTATTACGTATATGATGACTGCGTACATGATCCCGCATTTGCGCTTGCGACACCCCAGCACACGCCTCCTCTTTACCCCGACCTGCAGAACTGTCGTAAACGTGGAAATGAGTTGCGTTATGAACCTGCGGTCGATTACTTTCCCTCAAGGACCCGGATGTGCGTCTCATTAAGTTGAAATTGAATTTGCGAACTGAAAACTTTCCAGGTAGGATAAATGCAAAATTCAGTTTTGTAATGCGGATAACTGCAGATTCAAATATACAAAATTCATATTCAGTTTCTAGTGCATCAAATATCAGCCCATAGCAAGAGATGTCCATATAAGTGGGAAAGAGGTCACCGAAATTCTATGGCTGGGAGAGTAATCATATTACTGTTGTACCCTTGAGCAGGGTGCTGGAAACCTGCCTGATCTTGTACTCTGATCCCCGTTTTGTTCTCACGTGTGTGTGTACAGTACTGTGCAAAAGTCTTAGGCAGTCTAAGGAAATGTTTAAAGCTATTTATCTGGGTACTAAGTGTGTATTTGCTCAGAACAAATCACACAGTATAGCAATATGCAACATATGCAAATTAACAATAGCACAATAAAAACTAACAAGAATTTCTTCTGTTCTCCAAAATGTTTCTGATAACTTGTTGAATGGCTAGAATAACACCACTATAGTTCCCAAATATGAGTGCACTGGTTATGGAAAACTCTGGTGATTTTAGGAGAGGTTTTGAAATAGCTAAGCTAACACACCTCACCAGTTATAATAATATTGTTTTTCACCAACATGAACATAATTTAAATGTGTGTGTGTGTGTGTGTGAGTGTGTGTGTGTGAGAGAGAGAGAGAGAGAGATTGGACAGCAAGATGCAATTTTTCAACATTAATTTCATTGTACTTATCTGTACAACGACAATAAAGGCTTTCTGTCTCAACAAAGTAGGAAAGTAACGGGTCTGAACCTTCCTGAAATGTTTTTTTCTTACCAATTATGCTTGAAGTTTGATTTAACTCCTGGTTGGCAAAATTGTACTTTATTTCTGGCTACAGGCCTGTTGTCGTTTCTTAAATTTGTTGTCAGTAATCTTGTGGTGCTTTTCTAGTGAAATGGTCAGTTTCTTTGCTTTGATCAGTAAGCATAATTTGATTATTAACTTCTTACGTTGTGGTGTCAATTTTGTTTAGGGAATTATTGAACTTGTATCCTTCAGAAAGGGACTGAATCATAGGAACCCTCATAGGAACCTATAAACTTTTGTTTAAAAGTTTGCTACAATAGCCAAGCTACTACCTGGAGTTCTCTGGAGCTGTTGGGCTGGAAAGATGGTCTTCCAGGAGACAGGATCAACAGAAAACAGAAAATAAGTGTTTTTGTTTTGATCAGTAAGTATAATTTGCCTAATGTGCACGAGGATTTCTTCATGAGAGGTGATTATTTAGCGTGATCTCAGGAAGGAACCAGTGGTGCTAACTTGGGGTCATTGGCTGTAGATAGTGACGTTTTCTGAGACCAGACCAGCTTGGGTGCAGTTCCTGGACAGATTAGATACCTCTCATGATGTCAGTGAGCTTCTGTTGAAATTTCCATTTTCCATCTTTGCACAAAATGAATAAGTATAGTGGTCTTCTTATGAACATAGAGGTAAATGAGTGGAAAGCCAATCAGAATGGAGAGCTCAGTATGAGAATCAGTGACAGAAGTTTGGGGCAGAAGCCACATCAGCAGACGGCAGTTCTTGAAGTTCTCTGAAACAAAAGTGCCTGACAGAGCCTAATGTGCCTCTACCTCCAGCTGCAAAATGGACGTGGACGAGTTCCGCAAGCGAGGGAAGGAGATGGTCGACTACATTGCCGACTACTTGGGGAACATTGAGCAGAGGCAGGTTTACCCTGACGTCCAGCCCGGGTACCTGAGGTCGCTCATCCCAGAGGAGGCTCCGGAGGAGCCGGACATGTATGAGGATGTGGTCAGGGATATCGAGAGGGTCATAATGCCAGGGGTGAGTCACAACATGGGATCACATGAAAAGAAGGTCCAACGCCAACCTCGGGCCTGACGACGGCCTTGTCACGCCTCACAAGCCCCCCCTGCAGGGTTGACCCCCTTTCAAACGGCATGTTCAGATCTTTACTTATGTAGTCAGTTGAATATTGATGCGTAAATTCACACATTATTTCGTCACAATCGTGGATCTTGTCACCATCTTTTATGCAGAACTTTTATCACTGTCTTCATGGTTCCCCCCAGAATCCGAAATTATCTCCCCGGTCCCCTAGCGTTTTTGTGTGTTTCCTCCCGTCTAAACCAGTCAGAGATGATTTCCAGACGTTCAGCTGTATGCAAATGTGTTCAACAAACACCCAAAACATTTACTCTGCTCATTTAAGCCCAGTAAAATACTTTGCTTTTCTTGAAAATGCCTCACTGGCAACCCCTTTTAATCATAATCCATTCAAAGTGTCTATATTCAAGCCCTCATCCAACATTGGAGTGTCCTTGATACTTTTCCTTATAGAACTGAAGCACCTTTATTTCTGCTCTGCCGTATCAGGACCAGAACAGCCAGACAGAAAAACGGCTTCTTTCTAGAAGCTGTCAGACTTACAAACTCTGCGACACACTAAGAATCTTTTCTCATGTGCAATAACAGATCACACCATGGACCCTTTTCATTTACAATAAATGTAAACATTTATATTTATACCCGTACTGCCATCACTATTGTATTAATATTATTACTATGCAGCTGCACTTTAAATAGCTTGTAACCATTTTTTTCCTTTAGAATCGGATGATGGTTTTAAACTATAGTGCTGTTCATGGGACCTTGATACCTAATTTTGTTCCCTGACATGCTGCTCCCATGTTCTCTTAATGACAATAAACCATCTTGAATTTTTGTTCAAAGTCCTTGGGCCTGTCTGCTATTTTGAGTGCAAAGTAGTAGAAAGCTAGAAATTATTAAACAGCTCCTGTAATGCAGCCCGGAGTTTGACCCCCCAACTGTGATTATTCTGTTTGTTTACGCTTATTGGTGTACAAAAATCCCCGTAACCCTGTCAGACACTTTCTGTTACCCATAATTACTATCAGATACTTTTATATCTTGAGTTCAAGCTCATGGGAGTTTTACTAAAATGTTCTAAGGGCAGAATGAAAAATGATTGGTTCAGAGAGATAACCAATCATATTATATCAGAGGTTGGTCAAAGCAACTAGAGGAGGTGGGACCAACCAATCAGATGTCTTTGCCCCACCTCTAGTTATTTAGACCCCCCTCCTCTACAATCTGATTGGTTGTCTCTCAGAACCAGAGCGATTCTGCCCTCAGTACATTTTTTGTGTAAGTAAAACTCCCATGAGAGAAATTTAAGTCAATACGCTGCATCAGTACAAAGTTTTAAAATGGGTAGCTGTGCAGAAAACACAGAGGAGTTTAGAGTAAATGAAATGTCACATGATCCACCAGTCAAGTTTTTGCACGCCAGAGGTTTTTACCACTTCTCCATTTAATTCTTAAACTGCAGATTTTTATTCTTGATAAGCATTAGAGAGTTGAGTGAACAACTATCATTGAAAATATAGAATAAATATAAAATAAGTTTCCTTTTTAGTATGGAAAGAGTATGTCTGACACAGTGCATGTCTGACATCCTATTAACTGGTTGTATGGTGATGGTATAGTCAAATTCTAGGCTGTACTTTAACTCTAAATGCACTAGTTAATTGTTTCATCCCATGAAACAGAGCAGTACTTAATGTCCCATGTACAAAGAATGCCTTAAATTTTCTCTGCTGTTATAAGTCCATGAGGAGGTTACACTCAAGAATCAAAGGTTTGTCATTTTCTTGTTAATAAAGGTACTGGTGGTGAACATACTGTAAATATATTTGTTAGCAAAGAATATTGAATGTGTTTTTAGTAAATGTTAAGTGAGTAACATGCAAATGTAAAAAAATTACAGTGAGTGCAAAAACTTTTGACTGCTGGTGTATGTATTGTGTGACTGAGCCCTGAAGCATTTCCATAGTTTGCAGCGTAGTCTGTGATGATGCTATTTATGAGTTAGACTTTCCCAGTTATGGTTAAGTAGCTTACTATAGATTAATCTGTATCTCCAGTTTACGGCCCTTCCGTCCCTGCACTCACTGATCCCTCCTGTCCCATCCGTCTTGCAGGTGACACACTGGCACAGCCCCTACTTCTTCGCCTACTTTCCGACAGGGAACTCCTACCCCGCCATGCTGGCCGACATGCTATCTGGGGCCATTGGCTGCATCGGCTTTTCATGGGTGAGTTCGGCCTCCTGGAACGATACAATTCCGTGATCATCATCTGTTCCAACCTGTTATATCTCAGTGATTTTCAGTTTTGAAATTAAATCTCATTATTACTCAAAACTACTTTTATCTTTTTTTTTTTCTAGTCTCCAATATGGCTCTGTGTGTGTGGAGTTTGTTCTCTGTTTGTTCTCCCCATGTCCTCATGGGGTGTCCTCTGGGTTCTCTGGTTCTGCCCCCACAGTCCAAAAACATGTTGAGGTTAATTGGAGTAAGCAAATTGCACCCATGTGTGAGTGTATGGTGTGTGTGACTCTGCCCTGCGATGGGTTGGTGCCCCATCCTGAGTTGTTCTCTGACTTGTGCAAGTAGCCTCCAGGATAGGTTCTGTAAACCCCTCCCCCCCCCCCCCAAGTGGTTGCAGAAATTGGATGGATCTTGTTTTTTACCCCGAGATTAAATGGTTCTGATTTTTTTTTTAATCTTAATAGTTTTATAAATTTTTATTATTACTACTTATTTATTATCGTCCATCTTTTTCTATATTATTTTTCTTTGTATTCTGTATTTCCATCCAGGATGCAGATGGAAAAGCATTTCACTACAGCTATGTACAGCATACGTTTGTGCAAGTCACAAGTAAAACCTTTGGTCCCCTTCCCAGGCTGCTAGTCCCGCCTGCACCGAGCTGGAGACGGTCATGTTGGACTGGCTTGGCAAGATGCTTCGGTTGCCGGGAGACTTCTTGGCGGGGACAGAGGGAGAAGGCGGCGGGGTCATACAGGTAAACATGTGACACACATTGACACATTAGACCGCAGCCTTCAGGTTTGCCAACTTTGGGCAGCTGGCTGGCGTGTGATTTTCAATTTAAGTCTGCACATGCATTTTTTTTTTTTTACCTTGTAAATAGTCTGCAAGGTTTGCCAACTACCCTAATACTTTAGATGTAACTAATTTTAGGTTCATAATGGAATAATATAGATTTGCTGTACGATTTCTAACGTAAAAGTGAGAGTCTGAAACCGTGAATGTCTGATGCATGAGACTTGGCAACCCTGAGCTTTACCACAGAAATCAATCAGTCCTCATTAGGCGTGCAGTTGGTGTGACTAAAATGGATGCAGGAATGTTACCGTTCAGCCAATCGGCTTCACCAAAATGCATCTCATTCATATCTAACCCTGTGAAACTAGCTGCCTAATAGTATAAAGCAAGTTCACTGTGTGTTTGGATTAATGGTCCAACTCTTGGAGTTTTACACTTTGGTTATTAAAAAGGCCAAAATGACATTTGCTTTGTGACAGTCCTAACAAAAATCCTCCGTTCCGTGGTCTATTGCCCATGTGGGAGCAGCATGTTATCTGCATTTGTTTATTCTGAAGCTTTTTTTTTTTTTGCTATACCTGTATCAAATCACTTTGTCACATCAGTGACAGTGCAGGTGAGTGAAAAACCTGCATGTAAAGTCCCATAACTGCAATGACAAAGTAGTGCAAAAAAGCAGTAGTCAAATAGGAAGTATGCAAAAGATGCTAATATCCCTCTAAAATGCCGTACAGTCTCACTCAGCCATTGTGAGGTACTGTTGTAGGGTTTATAATGTTCCATGGACGTTTCACTCTCGTAGGGTTTATAACATTCTATGAACGCTTTACTCTCGTAGGGTTTATAACGTTCCATGAACGCTTTACTCTCGTAGGGTTTATAACGTTCCATGAACGCATTACTCTCGTAGGGTTTATAACGTTCCATGAACGCTTTACTCTCGTAGGGTTTATAATGTTCCATGAACGCTTTACTCTTGTAGGGTTTATAACGTTCCATGAACGCATTACTCTCGTAGGGTTTATAANTTACTCTCGTAGGGTTTATAATGTTCCATGAACGCTTTACTCTTGTAGGGTTTATAACGTTCCATGAACGCATTACTCTCGTAGGGTTTATAACATTCCATGAACACTTGGATCTGTTAATATGTCATAAATGTGGTTTTTGTGGGGCAGTTGGCTGCTATATTACCCCTTTGCCCCGCCTTGCATCCGGTGACCCCCCTCCCCCCCACCAGGACATTAGAACCCTGACCTGATGAGTCGCCACTAATCACTTTCTGTATATCACTCTTGTTTCTGTATTAAAATGAATAGCCTCAAAGGATTGTGCTTCTTAGTTGTGTTGGAGCGAATGTCACGACAGCAGTAAAAGGCTTTTGTTTTTTGTTGTTTTAAATTTCTCAGGCTGTAAATGTCAGAGCGACTTCGGGGTAATTGGCTGTGATCTGCCTAGATGATGCCACGTTAGTGATGCACAGAGCATTCGGCGGCCTGTTTATTTCCCCTTTTCGCCACAATTTGTCCATCATCGATTTCTCTCCTCCGCCTCACGGTGCTGGAGAGGTGCCGGAAATTGCCCTTTATTGCTGCTGCAGGCGAGAGGCGAGAGCATAGGAAAGCACCACACACACCCCCCACCCCAGTCAGGCGTACAGCACGAGACGGCTGTCAGACGACAGACCATTTCATCTCTAGGTGGGCGGGGATCTGCTCCCTCCTCTCGGTTATTGTTGCCCTGCTTTTCAGCGCCGTTCACTATGGCAACAAACAGGGCCATTTGTGGTCTGGCTCTTGCAGATTTACTGCCCGGCACACGAAAGACACAGCAGCGCTCCAGAGAATGTCAATTAAACTGACAGGGAGCGGCTAATGCAGCTTAACATTTGTTTTCATTTTGTGCTGCTGTGTGGAGATGAACTTTAGAGGATGAAAATACAATTCAGTATGATACCAATAATCTGCTATTTTTAGTACTTGTTTCTTGACTCTTATCCAAAGCAGGTGACAGTTTTTGGCATTTTTCCCAATCACTCTCATAGCTGCTGCTCCCTTACCGATGATTGCATAGTTCAAAGCATAAAAACTTATAAAAAATATATTTTATATAAAAAATATAAAGTATTATAAACATAACTATAACTATTCATAAAAAGGCATGACGCATTATAGGCATATTTTTTATACATTATGAATGCTCTATGAAGCGCTCATCTATAATGCAATCCATTTACATAATGGATTATAGATACTTTCATAATGCTTTATAGCGGTCAGTATAGGTCATTATAATGCATGTATGAGAGCTTCATAGAGCAGTTATAATGCATAATTAACAAGGCTGTAAATAGTTATAGCTATGTTTATAATACTTTATGAATGTATTATAATGCATTATGAAGGTATTTATAATGCATTATACATGAGTGCTTTAAGTAAAGTCTTACCCAATTGGGATAATAGAACTAAAATGAAATATAAATAAAATGTAGCTGTACCTTCAGTACTTCCTTTTGTCTTATTCTGCTTTAAATGATTAATTTCTTTGATAGAATTGCTGTAAAAGTTACCTGCACAAACACAACTGTACAGTTAGCTGATTGGTGTTTTACTAATCCAGTTACCGACTATAACCAATTGCAGGCTCCGAGAAGCCCTATGTGACTCCGTTTCTTTCTTCCCAGTCCCTTGGGATGTATAGAGCAGCTCGCAGCATGGGTATCGCCATGATCGCTTCACAGGGAGATGTCCAAGGTTTCTGAGGTTTCTAAAGGTCAGCAGTTTCGTATGTGAATGAGCATTGGCTAATGCTCTTGTTGGGTCTTGCAATTATGTAGTTGTTCTGGATGCAGCGAAGGAAAAGATGGCTTCAGCCGATCATAATATGCCCTGTGCTTCCAGAGTCACGTGCCCCGTGTTACAGACATCTACTTCATATGGATCAATAGTGATTCGCTATTCCAGAGACCAGTGGTTGGCTCGTGAATATATTTGTGAGTCTCCACTTAACACATGATCAAAGCAAACCCTGCAGCTCTATTGCAGGTGTGTCAGAGTTTCTGCTTCTCTTTAATGAAAGGACACAATTGCAGTGAAGCGAACACTCCACTAAAATTCATCTGTTATGCTCATGACCCATATGTGAGGAATGTATAATACATCTTACTAATAAAATGTATGATACTCGTAATCCATCTTCCTAAATCTGGGGCAACTCCTGGGCAAATCTGGGGTACATCCTGGTTGGGATGAAAGTCCTTTTTAATTCAAATTAAGTTAATGTTTTCAGACTGGAAAGCGTTTTGATTTTCATAGGGTGCATTGCTGATGTATTTTACAAGTCACTCAATATTTACATTTGCATGTGTTTATTTAGCATAAGTTGATATCCTAAGTGAGACATAATATATAAAGATAAGAGAGCGAGAGAGGAAAGGAGAAACTACCTCAGGATGAGATCCTGTGCTCAGCCATGTGGCGAGTGGAACCTCAGCAGCACACTAGCCTGAATGGACCAGTGTGAGGTTTTTTCTGGTGGCCAGAGTGCCAATCCTGCCACCAATCCCCAAGTTATTCCCTGTAAGTTGGAAGACCAACTTTTAGGGCTGGATGTGGATTAACTTGCAATTGCTTCGTCCTGGGTAAGGGCCTTGCTCAAGGGTCCAACGGAGTAGAATCACTCTGGGCATTCATGGGATTTGAACCAGCAACCTTCCAGTTACTGGCACAGAACCCTTGCCTCAGAGCCACCATAATATTAGGAAAGAACACAGTTTTGTTCAAGTGCTGTTTACAAACTTGGCACTTAAAAAGCACGCATAAAAATACAGACACCTTACCGTGTTCTAGTGACCCAGTAGGTATTTTGGCAAATAAATTAACAATAATTTTACGATACTTTGCCATGCCAATTTGGTAGTAAATTGTTGCAGATGAGAAGTACGTGGCATGGCATGCCCTGGGAACAGCCTCCATATTGAATCGCATGACCCCATGAGAACTGTAACCGTTGCATCTGGGTCGATAGCGACCTGAGGTATGTACACAGCAGTTAAATCAGTTCCTATACCTAGTCAAACTGAAAAACCAGGGGGTTACATTCTTACAAGACCAATGCTAAATACATGAAAGGAGCATCCAGTGTTGCCAAGAGACCTTGACCAAAGAATAGCCAATGATGAAAGAGAGCAGGTCAATGACAGAATGAGTTCATTGAGGTGTTCTTGGAAGAGATTGGTCTTAATACGTTTCTTGAAGGTTGTGAGGGATGTGAGGCTTGCTCAAATGTCAGGAAATTAAATTGGCCTACAGAACCCTTGGGGCAAAACTTCTCATGAGATGAACCACATGAGATGTGCATGACCTCACCAGGGGTCTGTGTCCTTGCAGGGTACAGCGAGCGAGGCCACCTTGGTAGCTCTGCTGGCCGCTCGCTCCAAGATCATCAGACTCATCCAGTCTGACAGCCCAGAGCGCACGGAGGTTGAAATCACATCCAAACTGGTGGCCTATTCCTCTGACCAGGTAACCCTGCCCAGTCAAGCCAGAAACATCTGCAAATAAGTTTTGGGTCTGCATGAAAGTTCACTTAGAAGTCATCTTCAGCTTGCTTTAAAAACATGGTCTGGGGGGCAGTGAATCTGTTCAAAATGTTCTTTTGACTTGAAGGACATCACAGACATACCCATGGCTGTGTGACTCACACTATATGATCAAAAGTATGTGGAGACACCTAATTAATAGAGAAATTCCCTAATTAAGCCACACCCATTATTGACATAAATGTGTGACTGTGCTTAATTATACAATCTTCAGCAACAAATATTAGTAGAAGCATGGGTGGTTGTTGTTCACAAGAGATTAGTGACTTTCCACTTGGCGCCATCATCGGATACCATCTTGCTAACAAATCAGTTCCACACACTTCTGCCCTGCTAGAGCTGCCCTGGTGATCCACAAGTCAAGTGATAGTGAAGGTCAAAATGTCTGGAAGCAAGTTCAGTCATGAAGTGGTATCTACACAAGCTCATAGAACGGGAGCTGATCACCCGACATCAATACCCAACCTGAATGGCAGCAAATCTCACCAACAATGTTCCAACGTCTAATGGAAAGCCTTCCCAGAAGAGTACAGGCTATTATAGCAACAGTAACCTGACTAGCTTCTATATTTCTATACCCTTAATTTTGGAATGAGATGTTGATCAAGCTGGTGTCCACATACTTTTGGCCATATGGTGTGGTTGAAGCTGAGGTCTCTGCAGTGTCACAGAAATCTGCAGGTTGGACCTGGAAATCCATGGGAGTGGGATCACAGTTAGGAGAGGGACACAACGCAAATCCGCATCACATCTGTATCGCTGCTCAAGACATGTCAAGGGACCAGACTTTTATTGCCCATTGAAAAGTGAAGACCCACCACAAATGGTCCAAGACACTTTCACCAGCTTCCATTCCAGAAATAAGACACAGGTGTAACAAGATTGTGGTTTCTCCTCATACCATGCTTTGGTGACATCCCCGCCACCCCTCCCCAGGCGCACTCCTCAGTGGAACGGGCTGGTCTCATCGGGGGTGTGACGATGAGGAAGATCCCCACTGATGACAAGTTTGCACTTCGAGGAGAAACATTCAGGAAGGTGCTGGAGGAAGACAAGAGGGCAGGACTCATCCCCTTTTATGTGAGCAAAGACCCCATAGGCGGGGGGGCCAGGCGTGAGCTTCCTCGTTTAGATTTCCTCAAAGAATCAGCATGTCAGAGGTTTCAGGATGTAGCTTATCTGCTGTTTTCAGCATTTCTTAAAAGCTCTGGGGTAGTTGTGACAGTAAGAAAATAAATTAAATTATTATTATTTCACAAATAATTAATCTTCACAACAGTCTCTTGTTTAACTTATAGCTCAGGATTAACTTGTATAATAATATCCCATCCCTCCTGATATATGAGGCAAATTATTTCAACCCAAAAGTAAAATCCTTTTTGCAGAAATGCTAATAAACATTATTGAATCTTATGCACTTGAATGGCATGGAATATTTCAGCATTTTTCAGCTTTATGTTGTTCAATGCCTGTTATTTTTTCCAAAATTTTTCATGGTGCGTTTGTTTACCTGGTTATCAGCTGTGTGCTACCCTGGGGACCACTCCATCCTGTGCATTTGACAACATAATTGAACTGGGTCCCATATGTGAGTATGTCTCATTATATGTGAGTATGTCTCATTCGAAGACTTTGCCCAGCGAGAACAAGTGCCTGACGTGTCCCCTGTACTGCAGGTACCTCGGAGAGCGTCTGGATGCACGTTGACGCAGCCTACGCAGGCAGTGCCTTCATCTGTCCTGAATTCAGGCCCCTTCTCAATGGTGTAGAGGTACGCTGTTATTGCACTTACTATACACTAATCTTAGGCACAGTACAGTGCTGAGAGACGAGAGAATCACAGAGTAACATGCAGACCCAAATGTGGGAATCACAGAGTAACATGCAGACCCAAATGTGGGAATCACAGAGTAACATGCA